GCAAAGTCCCCCTGCCACTGTTCTAGACCAAACACCTAGGCATGGTCACCCTGGCTACTCTCTCACGCCTGTAGCCCATAGCCTATTTGCCAGGAAACACAGCAGGCACCTCCTACACACAGTCTCCTACTGCACCATGGCAGTCACCTCCTGATGGCTACAACACCTCATTCCATTTACCCATGGCAACCACCTGAGCCCCCTCCTACTGTATTCACATGTACAACAACCAACTTCCCCCAGAGCCAACACTGCCCCCCACAAGCCAGCCCTGGCCTCCTAGAACCCCCAGAGCCCTGCGCTTCTGTCTCCTTCCTCATCCGCAGTATGGGTGTCCCTCTCCCACCCCTAGCCTGCCACCCTGAGCCAGGGTCGGCATCCAGAACAATCTCAATGGCCCCACCCATCCTCCACCCTGAGGGGACCTTGACCCTGGGGAGGCTGCCCCCTAGACCTCAGCCTCTCACTTGCCTGAAGCAGGCAGGTCTTGCCTCCCACCCTGGCCAGCCCTAGTGCCCGACATTTGCTCTCACCTGTGTCTTCAGCTTCGTCCTCCCCATCTTCATCATCTCCTGAGGATGGAGCATCTGCATGCAGGAGAGGGTGTGAGTGGGTGGTGGCCCTGCAATGAGCCCACAGCCAGGCCCCTGATCTGCCGCGGAGGGACCTCTCATTCAGATAGCACCTCCTCTCTCCCAACCACCAGCAAGCCCCTCAGGGTGGGGGTGCTGCAGCCACGTGGCCAGACACTCAGCCTCTCCTGCCCCCGCTCAAGGGCCACACAGCTGCCCAGAGAACTCAGCGGTCCAGGCCCACCCACCCGGCCTGATAGGTGCTTACCCGTTACACGCACACTGAAGTGGCACAGCACACGCTGGGTGAGCTGCTGCCGGCAGCTGTAGGCCCCAGTGTCCTCGTGGGAGGCATTCAACACCTGAAGCCGCTGGGGCCCCACCAGTATGCGGTCCGAGGGCACTAGCCCTGCGCCATCCTTGACCCAGACGGTGGGCCCCATGGGACCACCTCCAGGCAGGTGGCAGCTCAGTTCCAGGGTGTCTCCACTACCGAAGACCAACTGCTCCTTCTGGCTGGGTTCAGGGCCCGGGACTTCTGCAGGTAAGATGGACGACTGTGGAGCAGGCACCCGAAACCAGGCACGCTGGGATTCAGCACCTTGGCACCCCACTTCACAAACACACCACACACCAGCAGCAGCCACAGTAGGCCCTGCACTGCAAACTGTTCCCATACAGGGCCGAGGGGTCAGTATCTCCAGCTTTGCCGACTGGTCTGTCCTGACTGGATTCTGCCATTGTAGTGTGGGACAGCCTTGCACGGACAATACGTGAAGGACTGGGCACGGCCACACCCCAGTAAACCCTCTGAACGCTAAACGTTCTCATTTCAAAGGGTCATGAAGTCATCTTCTTTTGACTTTTTCAAACATTTGGACACACAAAAATCTGTGGTGGCATAAAAGCAGGCAGGGACAAGCTGCTCTCTGCTGATCTCTGGCTAAAGTGGAGCTCAGGGGAGGGGAAGCTGGGTGGGGTGAACCCAGCTTCCTCTGGGTGGAGGTTTACGCCAGGGGGGGTACCTCTCAGTACCCCTTCCCAGCCTCTTGAGGGCAGCCCCGGTGGAGAGCAGGGAGGGAAGAGAACACGCTAGAAGGAAGGACTGCAGGGCCAGGCAACCGCGTGGCCAGACCGTCCTCAACTATGTACCTGGCAGAGGGTGTTTACATGGAGCTGAGCCCTGGGGGGATCTGTGGGGTGCGAATGTTCTTCACACTGTTGCTCACGGGGAAGTTCCATGTAACAGTCCATCAAAGAAACCTCACACTGAGAAAAGGACTGAAATACAGCGGGACACCAGGACTGACCGGCTGGGCCTCACAGGCCAAGGCCAGGGTGGCTGTGGTGGGCAATATGGAAGACCCGGTAGGGAGGAGGAAGGTAAGGGAGCCTGTCAGCTGGAGCAGCAGAGCAGGTGAAGAGCTTCGCTGCCTCACCCCAAGACCTGAGGGGGGGCTGAGAATCTGGGGAGCGCTTCAGCCCCTGCCCAGCCAGTGACTCTCCGGCTCCCAAAGGGCCACCAAGGCCCAAGACCCAGGGACACACCATCAGTAGGGCTGACCATCACCCCCGAGGCCTTCCTGCCAGGGACACACAATGCCCAGCACATGCAGGGGGTCTGGGCTTGGGGCCCGGGACAGGGGTGGGTGGTCCCGCTGGGCAGGCCTCCTTCCACAGACCCAGCTGGACCAGTTGCACCGTCACTTGTCATTCCGCCGACGCATGGCCTAGATTCTAGGACCCAGCTGCCCACTCTGGCCACACCAGTGCCTGGCTCGCTGGCCAGACCTAATTCTGTCTACTCCACCTATGCCGGCCCCACATGCCAGCCAGAAGGACCTGCACTCATCCCCTGAGCATCCATAGGAACCTGCATCCCCTAGGGACCCACAACAAGGCCAGCCGCCATGGGGGCCCTGTGGTCAGGGGGCTCCTGGCCTGATCTCCAGCCTTCCAGCCCTGGCTGCCTGTCCTGTGGGGACCACCCAGTGCTGGGAGCTGTCTGGGGCCCCCCAGAAGGCCAAGGACAGACTGGTTGAGGCAGCCTCAGCCCCAGGCCCTGGCCCAAGGGCAACAGGCAGTTGGTTCCGGACTGGTCTGGGCAACGACAACAGGTCAAGCCATCTCCACAAAATATTTGCTTCAACCTGGTCCAGCGAGGGAGGGAGTGAGGGTGGGGGGATACAGGGCAGCCCCCAAGGCCAGCCATGCCCAGCGGCTATCCACCAGGGTGAGGTGGGGAGGGAAGGGGCATGCACTGGGCCCAGGGCCAACCTCTGATCTGCACACCCAGTTCGAGCAGAGGCCAGGGATGCCCAACTCCAGGAAGTGATAGGCAGCAGTCTCCACTGGGGCAGATCTGACCCCAGGGCCCGAGGAAAGAGCGTGGGACTGGGCATGAGAAAGCACTAGGAGGGCAGGGTCTAGGACTTGGCGGTGGCAGGGTACAGGCAGCCAAGTCCTTACATGCCCTACTAGGCTGCCCATACCCCACAGTAGTCCCAGGAAAGGCTCTTTCTTGATCAGCGAAGGTGGCCCCCTAGTCTGAGGGTGGTGAAGCAGTAAGACAATACTCTGCAAGGCTGACCCACATGAGAAAGTTCTGGTTTCACAGCCCAAAATCTCCTTAAGCATGCTGGGCATGAGTATGCCCATGAGCCAAGGCTGGTGGAGGCTGGGGATGGATCTCAGCACCAAAATCCCACTGTGTGTGTGTGTGTGTGTGTGTGTGTGTGTGTTTTGCAATAAATTAATAAACTTACAAGGGACTAGCAGATGGTATAATGCTTACGTCACTGAACTCTCACGCAGTTGACTGCAGTTCAAGTCTTGGACCTGGCAGCTTAAAACTCACGCCAGGCACATGTGTGTGCATGACCAAAATCCCAAGAAGAGAATGGAGGAGAAAGGGCTGTGGCATTGCCATCCCCCTGGGGGGTAATTTCTCACTTTCTGGGTGTCCAGTGAGTGTATATACCCTACGGCAAAAATTCTTAAAAAAACGAACAAAAACTTACAAAAGAGAGGTAGGGCACACTAGCACCCACATGGCACTGGTGCTCACAGCACTCCTCCCAGGCCTGTGGTGGAGGGACAGGGAATGTCCCCTCTCCTGCCTTGTCTATGGATCCCACAGCAACTGCTCCCACCCACCCCACAGGGTGCTGAACTCTGGGATGCAGCATGTTGAGAACAGCCCCCTCGGACTGTGTCTTAGAGGGTCTATGCTGGGCTTGGGGGGTCCTGTTTCCCAGTCACAGAGTCCCCTGACTCTGCCACTTACTGGCCTTGTGCTTCATTTTCCTCTACTATGGCACAAGGTAAAAATTCCCCCCTGCAGCCTTGGGCCCAGAGAGGCCACCACACCCACACCCAGTTAAGTGGCTGGAACATGTGGATATAGGTTCACATGGAAAGACCTGCCTTGCCCTGGGTCTCTGGCCTCAGACTGATGTTGAGGCCACCCTTCTGGGGTTCCCTGCCTGGGGAATGTTGACCTCAGCTGCAGGTCACTACAGTCGAGGCTCCCCAATACACTGTGAAGATGCACGGATGGGAAGTAACTCCAAAGAACAAGCATCAGACTCATTTCTGAAGCTGGTGCCCAAGGGATTTGGGGTGAGAAGGGGGCCTGGGATCAGGGAACAAAGCGTTCTGATTTGGACACACAGGAAACCCTCCAGCTTGGTACATGTAACCAGGTACACGCTTTAGAATAGCCTAGAAGGAGGAGGTCCCAAGGGACCCAGAAGCCAAGGATGAGGGTCTGGCCTTCCAGCCTTCCCACCCAGAGACATTCTGCAAAGTTTCGTAACAAAGTCAGGAAGAAAAAAAGGGGATCTGGACGCCAGGCGGGCTAATGAGGGCTTACCGGGATTATCCGGCCTAATCCTCGAAACAACCCTGCCATTATCGGTCCTCTCCAACAGGTGAAGAAACTGAGGTTTGAGGACGGCACCCAGAACCAGGGCAGGTAGGTCTGGGCAGACTTCTCCCTCCACCCAGGTGGCTCCAGAACAGATCGTTCACTTGTAAATCACATAGGAAGGCTGGGCTGTCTGCTCCCCGAGCCCTGCCAGCTAGGGCAGACCCCAGGCTCACCTCCCCGGTAAGACTTCAAACCTTTCAGTTCCCTTCTGGATTCAATTGGGAAAAAAGGTGCTCGGGGATCCAGTTCTGGACCCAAACGAGACCTGAGGCCTTGGTGGTGGAGATGTATGTGACCAGGGGCTCCTAGGCTCAGTACAAAGGCTCGGAGGCCAGAGGCTCAGCCCAGGTTAATGAACCACCCAGAGGCCTTCAGGCTCAAAGTCCAGCCCTGAGGAGGACGGACAGGGTGGGGGAGGTAGTGCCAGTAGCTCTGCAGGGAAGGCCCTGCAGCCCCCAGGGACCTCTCCCAGCTCGGGCAGAATCAACCTTCTTGCACCTTGGGGTCACCCATCCCCCCCAGATGGCCACAGAGAACGTGGCCCCATGTGGAAATAGAGGCTGCCTAGGCCTTGATGGCCAGGGCAATCCAGCGGTCAAAACCTTCCCCATCGGCCTTGACCTCAGCCAGCTCTGGCTCCATAATTTATGTTCCTGGGGAAAGCGCCAGCCGGGACCTCTGTAAATTTCACGAGGTCTTTGTATTTTTACTGCCCAGCCCATCTCGTTAAGGAACCGGATTAAGTTTATGGACCTATCAACTCACTACCTGTTTCACCAGCTCTACTTCGGGGGCGGAGGGGGGGCGCAGACGCTGGGGCGCAGGGAGAAGGCCTGGCACCCCTGCCGCGCCCGGGCGGTCCTCTCCTAGCGCAGGCACTACAGGCTCCGCAGGCTCTGCGCCCAGGACAGGGCCTTGCTGGCACTTCCACTGCCCGAGCCGGGGGACGGAGAGGCCACTTCCCGTAGGGGGTCCAGGAGAAGATCTGGAGCCCCGCCCACCGCCCCTCCCCCGGGGCTAGTTGACATTCCCCGGCCGTAGGGAGTAATATCTTTATCTGAAAGCA